GAAAGCCGTAATTAAGATAATGATACGTAGGAATAATCCGTGAGAATTAATAATACCATAATGAATTAATACGGAATAATTCGTATGTAAGAAATTAATAATACGTAAGAATGATACGTTGAGGGAGAAAAATGTCCAAACGATGAAAGATATTTATTCCGTGTGATATGTTTACTTATACTACTGTATATATTTTTGCAATGAAAACAGTTCCTTTCGAGTGAGGAAATATAAATTTTCCCAAGTCTGCAGCTTTTCATGAGAGTGATTGTGCATTTTATTTAAATAAGAGATTTTAGAGATTTAAATTGAATATTTCTTTTTATTTTTCAGATATTTTTTCACTCATTACGCAATGAGAATAAATACTATAATTAAGTGATAAAATGAAAAGATTTTCCCCGCAATCTCGAGGTAAATTTCCGGATGCGTTACACGAGAACGGATTTGACAAATAATGACTGTTGTATTTCACGAAACGAATGGTCTGTAATGTAGCGCCATTCGTGGGGTCTAAGCTTCGTTCCTGATTAAGGCTTGATGAGAGAAAGACCAACTTGCTGCGTCAAACCCGTGATAAATAGGTGGATGGGAATAAGGTTACCCGAAAGGATAGCATTCCTTATAGCAGTGGCGGCTTTTGTTATCCGCCAAGTTAAAATGTCACGCACGGCACGTCGTCCGATTACGTCCGTGACAGCTTGACACCTGCGCGCGTACAGAAAAAAAGTGTCTATCCACCCCCCGGTTTCCGTATTCCCGCTACTTCGCCACAGATTTGCATGTAATTTATGACGAACCGTGTACCAGAAGGTAAGGAACAGCGGTAACAAAGTTTGTTGCTGCTCTATAAAGGCCGGCGCGCTCGCGTAAACGCGAAGGCGAAGTGAAAGCGCGAATAAAATTAACTTTTAATAAATGTTAATCCGCACGAAAACTTTCGACGCGCGCCCTTCTTATTTGCCCTTCGCCGATCGGCAATCATTGTCGCATTGTCGAGTTGTTTCCCTTACCGCGCGAGTTTACACAGTACATATCATATTTCGCACTTATTGATTATCACATCGATACCGTTGAAGAGAGAAAAAGTTTATGTGACTACGGGGAGAATTTTATATTAAAAATAACTACAGAATTTTTAACGGGAAATTTTTTACTGGAAAAACATATTGATATTCTGTGTTATTTTATTATTGTTCTGCGTGTTTCACATGTACTATATTTGTATTTTAGAAGAGGGTGAGGGAGAAAGAGAGGGAGAGAGAAGGTTGGGATAAATATTATGTATACATTGTTAAATATTAATAGTTATTATCAATATTATTAAGTATCATCAATTATTTAAAAATTTATTATGTTGCTACGTTCCTTAGCAAGATAAGCTCTACACATTGAAAGAAAAAATAGTTTTGTTTAAAAATAAATAATAAAAACTATAGGAATCAACACGAGTTGTGTGAGTTGTGTAAAAATATTGAATAAAAATGTTACTAATCTGAAATTCTACATTTGATATTGGCTTTTATATATATATAAACGCATAATAAAAAAATTGCAATCGGAAAGTCTTTTGTACAAGCACATCTTTTGTACTTTTGTACTTTTAAAATGCTGCTGTAGTATTAATAATAATAACCTTATATTCAACAATTTTTCAACAACCATTCAACAACTTTTATAACAACTTTTCTCTCAGTAAGGTGAGTACCGACGATCTCTATTTCCACACACTGAAAGAAATTATCGTTATTTTCGGCTTGAACTATGCTTTTTCATGGTTTTAACCACAAAAACAGTAGTAGCAATATGCGTGCAAGATTATTATCACTGACATTACACAGTGGCACTTCATAGAAAAATAGAAAAACGGTCCTCCTGACTGTAATTCTACTCACTATGATAATTATCCTTACGAATGCCAAATATTTGTCTCTCTCGGTGTGCCGGGGGACACGGTAAAGTGGAAAAGAATCGATATATAAAAAGAGGTATATACGATATTCTATCCGTGTGTAATCGTGTTATAAGTTGCACAACGTAATTGCGTGTTTATCTCCGCCAGGCTCCGTCACGCTCGTATTTTTGTATCGCACGGGAACGCGCAGTATCAATCGGTAAGAGGGAAAGGAGGGCGCGCGCGTCATATCGGAGGTGTCGTGCCAGATATACCGCTCCGTTCCGAATACTAATTGCGTAGAGCGGATCCAATCTAGTCGACACCTTGATAATCAAGTTAAGAGTCCTCACCCTTGAGGGACCACACCGCATTACTGACGTGCGCGCAGAATAGAATATCGTAACACGCTCGGCTGCTCAACACGATCCGCGCGTAAAACGCTTTAATTTACCAGCTTTTAATTTATATTTACGAAGAGCGCGCTTTTCCATCAGGGATAATAGAGCCCCGCTTTTTAACTGTATTTCTCTTTTTGCCCTCTCACCCGGTCCATAGTGCGGGCGCATATTTGCTTCAGTTTAAGTACACAAAGTCTAAAGAGCCGCACGGCCGAAGAGCGAGAGAGTTAATGTCACTGTAATCGCGTTACAAGCTTATAACGTGACTGCGTGTGTGTATGTTCACCGTGTGTGTATGTTCACCGAGCTTAATGCACCGTCGCTCGTATTTTTATATCGCGCGAGAGAACGTGCAGTATATGCAGGTCGGCGGGCGCACCGAGAAAAATTCAACTGAAATTCAGCCATTTTCAACCGTATCTCTTCTCCTGGGTTTCTTTATCGAAAAGGAAAAGGCGTGTTAAGTTGACACTCGAGAGATTATTGGCCGTACACTGCGGCTTACTTTGTGTTGCCTGTCATACGGAGGAAAAAATGTAGCTAGAACAACAAATTGTTAATATAGTAACAGCAGACAAAATTTGTATGGACTGCGGAAAGATTTGTTGAAAGTACTAATTGCTATTTGCTGGATATATGGACAGCGAGATAATTTGATTATGCCAATAAAGTTTGTAGTAACATTTACTAGAGAAACCGGCCCTCTTGATTATATTTCTTCCATTAATGCGATTACAGATGCAAATACCGGCCGTGTTTCCCGTGGGCGCCGACTGAAATCAGGCCGCGTCCCGATTTTCATTTCTGCGAGAGAATGAATCGAATTCCTCTTTACCTTCCGGCCGGGCGGATCTCGCGGAAAATATGCGATCTCCCCTCATTTAACATATTTTTCGTCGACGCTCGTCTGAAGAACACCAGCGATCTTACTGTCGTACCCAGGAAACGCGCGTTGCGTTGCCATATTCTCGTCAGCTTCTCCCCGCGTAATTTATGCGCTTTAATTAGCCGAGATGCCCGAGGACAGGTTCCCTCTCTTTCTCTCTTCCTTCTTGCTCCCCCGCCGTCGGCATCACCGGTGAAGTTTTACATCGCAAGTTTCGCGCGCATTGTGCCCGACGTAAAATTTCTCATCGAGCGCACGAGCGAACGCGTCGTAGGACGTCTCGATCGCGAGACTGAAAAATCTTGCTTTAAGATAAATCGAGCCCCGTGCGAGAATAGCATCAGCCCGCTATCACGCGGAACGGCAAAAACACTCGCCGAGGGTGTACCTCCGCGTGTATTTCCATCTCTTCGCGGCAACATCGGAGTAATCAAATCGATATCTTCCGATCGGCTTGCGAAGTTAACCGACCGATAATTATTATCTGTTCCCGCTGAGCTTCCGATCCCTAAGGGCCGTTACGGGGGGTATTCCGTTTATCAAACCGCCGATTATCCCCGCGCTAACGTGAGAGAGCTCGGCGTACTCGCGAAAATAAATAAAGGGACCCTCCTCCGCGCAGGAAGAGGAAACTTAATCGCGAGTCGCTGTTGTGCTTGCGGCATTTAATTTTTAACGTTAAACGTGGAGCTCCCGCTGAGAGAAATCCTCTAATTAAAACGCAACGTATGCTAAGCAACCGCCTTCATTAAAGTCCAACCGGCGGCCGTAGAGGACGAAGGATACTCTTACAACGAGAGCAGAAGAAACTCATTTTGACCGTTCGCATGCGCGCGAGTTGGCGGAACTCACGCGATCCGTACCTCAGAACGATTGTAATCGTAACCCACAGACACAAATTGAAAATTGTATCGGCTTGAAGATATCGTTCTTTCTATTCATCACTACTTCTTCCATTCGATTCGTGAGAAATATTCTTGAATAACAAGATCGCATTTTTACTGGAACTGTACAGAATCCCTTCATGAACAAGTCTTATCTTCATGTAAGATTATATATGTTTGATTAAATATCTACATGAGAATATAAGCCTTGAATTGAAACTTTTTCCGTGTGGTAGAAATTAAATCTCGTGGGTGTCTAGCGATATGGTAGTAAATTTGTCTTTAACGTCGCTACTGATTAATAATGCAACGCTCACTGTTCCTAGCGGTTAAATAATGGTTAGATAAATAAATTAACTGACGCTTAAATTAAAAAAATTGCAGTTACGAGATGAAAATTATAATTAGAGCTTCCAGGCAGTGACGTAACGCTCACTTTTGGTCTTTTAATATTTTTATGGAATAACATAACTTCAATTTCCATTAAGCGCCTGGCTTTTAAATGCCAGTGGCGAGTGTATAGTAGCTGCATTATATCTTTTAGAATAAACAACGCACCATCTGTCACATTTAATATATAATGGTTACATATATAGACAACGGCCAGATCGCAAGACTGATTCTGCATTTTAGCGGATGATCAGCCAATAGCAAACTAGTAACGAGCTGTAGGAAAATGTAATCCAACAGCTAGCTAGCAAACCGGCCTTTAACTCAGGCCGACTGGATAGATTTCTACTCGAATTGTCGTCAAGACAAAGCGTCACAAACGGGGATAAATATTCGAGGGGTCACGCTTGAATCGCGCCAGGAAAAGAAAATAAACGTCGACGGTAATACCCTAACTCCCGCGTGTGCTCTTCGGTTACATAATGCCATTGTCCTGACAGTTTCACGCACGCGTACAAGTGTTGAGGAGGGCGAAGCGGGCTTACCTGAAGCACTGATTTATCGAGTCCCGCGACGAGGGCGGAAGCTGAAGAAGAAGAGGGCGAAGGCGAAGACGACGTCGAGGAGACGGAGGGACTAGTCGCTACGGGGGTCGACGGTGACGAGGGGGCGGGAGAGGGTGACAGCCCCCGAGAGCCCCCTGCAGCTGTAGCCGCCGCCCCCGGTGTTGCGCCTACACTCCTTTCCACTTCTGTAACAAGGAAACAAAACCATATCTCCATTAAAGCACGGCTACGTACGCGCGTCGTCGTAAAAGTCGGCTGTATCTCCCGTCGCCGTTACCGCCGTCGTCGTCGTCGACGACGTGACGAAAATTGATGCTCACGGCGCATCAAGAAACGCGAGTCAATGTCTTCAGTGCTTTAAGGGAGGGGGGGGG